TGGACCAAGGCAGCTGCAGGTTTCCCCGCCCCTCCCAACAGCCTGGTCCCAGATATCTGTTAACTCAGCAATAGACCCCACTGTGTTGTGGGCAATGCTCCCTCTAAGCTGTGGAGTCCTGTGAGCAAAAATCCTACTTTGTGAGCTATGGACATTAAAGTTGCGAGCGAGCAATTTGGCTACTGAGTAAATCAGTTTGCTCTTGGAGCCATCCCTTCCCGAGCGAAGACAAAAATGGGTGAGCTGGAGGCTAAAAAACCTGCGAGCTAGCGCACACTCACTCAGCTTAGAGAGAACACTGGTTGTGGGGGGCGGAATTCTGAGGAAGACCCCCCCCACACACACACACACATCGATGAGTTGGTCTTTCCCGACCCGTCTCCCTTCTCGCCGGGCCCCAGGAACCCGCGGCTGGCTTCCCGCTTTCCCCCCCTCACTTCTCCAGCCGCACATCCCGCGAGGGGGGCGGCGGTTTGGAAGTGACAAGCCAGAGGGCTTGTTTTTGATTAGATCCAACATCTGTCAGGGCGGGAAGATGCTGTGCCGCGGGGGGGGGAGGGGCCAGGCGGAATCCAGCCTCGTTAAAAAAAAAAGCCCAACCCCCCCCGCCACCTTAAGGGCTAGAGACTTGCGGGCCGGGTTTTAATGGCGCCGGCTCCAGACAGTCCCGGCTTTAATGGACTCGCCGTTATTTGCTCTCCGTCTTCCAGGAGGAAGGAGGTTTTCAGAGGGTTTGTTTAGGGGGGGAGGCGGGAGAGGAGAGGCGAGATAGATGCCGATCATTTTAAAAGCCCTGCCCGTTTGGAGGGGGGTTATTTGAGTTGGGGGCCCCCGGAGAATCTTCCTCTCCTCCCCCCCGCCAAAAAATGTGCCCATCCCGCAGACAGCCCGTGACGGAGCCGAGGCCTGGCTGGGGCCACTTGCAGAGGGCTCCTGATTAACTGGGGGGGGGGCGGTTTCGAGAGCCCCTTGGCGCCAGGCGCTGGAAGTGTCCACAGTAATTTTACAAAGCCCTCGCCACTTTCTATTTACAACCCCCCCCCTCCACGCACACTTCGGCGCTTCTCTGGAGAAAGGGAGGGGGGTCGTCTCCAGTGCTCCCTCTAAGCTGTGGAGTCCTGTGAGCAAAAATCCTACTTTGCGAGCTCCTGGCATTCGAGTTGTGAGCCGGCGATTTGGCTGCTGCGTGAATTAGTTTGCTGTGGAGCCCTCCTTCCCGAGCGGAGACAAAAATGCGTGAGCTGGAGGCTAAAGAACGGAGAGCTCGCTCACACTCACTCGGCTTCGAGGGAACACTGGCTCGTCTCCTTCCCTCCCCCCGTCAGAAACGCCGCTGGGCACTGGAGCGAGGCCCCCGCCGCGGGCGGGTTGGAGCCCCCGAAGGGCGCCGCAGACCCCCCCCCCACCCCCCCCCCTCCCCCCGCCCGCACCCGGCTCCTGC